AGGTCCGAACCCATGGTCTGTCGGCTAGCGACAGTTAAGCTGCCCTTTTACCATAGATAATATTACTTATCGCAACCGACAGGCCATCGAGCCCGCAGCGCAGTGGGTTCGAGTGTTGGACTTGTAACTAACAAAGTCGCTATTTCGATGCTCGGCGGTCGCCAACGTTGGGGTTAGGTATGGCTGGCTGATGACGGCTAATAGAATAGAAACGGCCAGTCAAGTCCCCGTTGACCTATTCGGTAATGCATTTCTACCCATAATATAAGCTAGCCATCGAACGGTTGCTGGCGGGGCTCAAGAGCGATCTCCAAGGCACAACGGCACAAGTGAGTACCGTAACCGATCGATGAGCGCCTACCTCCCATTGTGTATATTCCCGATCGAAACCGACAAAGCAGCGACCCCGTGGCGCAGTGGTTAGGACGCCGGACTTCTGACTAACAAGGTCGTAGGTTCGAACCTCGGGGGTTGCTACTCCTGACAGCTAGGCGACTGCCTGTGAGGGCTCTAACTTTTGCCCCAGTGGGTTTTACCGATCAGTTTAAGGGTCTTAATCGTCATGCTGGACCTTTGGGGTCAAGCTAGAGTAAGCCTGTGTCAATATTTATTACCGCGATAGTGGACTTGTTGTCGTTGCTGCCTTCATAAACCCCAGGTCTCTCAGGACCGAAGACAGGTATAACTCACAAATGGTCATTTCGGAAGTACAGTCGATCTCGGTATTCGTGGAGATTAAAACGCACAGCTACCCGCAACTAACTAAACTCTGCAAAAAATGGACTTTGCGACCAGGGGGGCAGCTGTACTTTAGCGACATTTGCCCACACTATCGGTGACTCTCCAGTATACGCCCACCTGCGAGATAGCTCATTGTGTTCACACCAAGGTCACACCGGTAAACGCTTATCAAAGCAAATTGTTCGGGTACAATGTTAAGAGTGGGTCTGCCAAATACCAGCCATGAATTCCAGTGTCTATCGGTGTATTTAGATTGGAAACATTATTTTCTTCCTATCTCACGTTTACCAAAGATAAACAAAGATGTGACTGGGGATCGAGATAGACAGGGCATCTAGCCTCTATGTTAGGGCACTCCCTATAAACAACTCACACTTCTGCTAGGCATAGGATAGGGTCCATCTACGGTCTGACGTCAGAACACTGGGCACTTTAGGAATACAGCCGCTGGCTTACA